GGCAGGGGTATGCAACCAGCCAAATCCGAACGGAGGCAATCCTGTCTACAGAACACATCACAGTGCAATGCGTAGACCTTACTTAGATCCTATTCATGCAAACCAACTGTGAAAAGATATTCATGAAGAATCTGGAGATTGTTGCACAGCGTGAATGTACTTACTGCTGAACTATATACTTAAAAGTTATTAAGATGGTAAGTTTTATGTTGTATATTTTGCCACAATTAAAAAAACCTTTAAAAGATATTCATGGACCAACCGGGGAATGAGAACATTGACTATATATTAGATGACATTAAGGGATTATTAATTTTTTTTTTTTTTTTTTTGTGGTATGTGCTCCTAGCAGGAACTGAACCTGGGCCTCTCTGGTCCGCAGCTCTAACCGCTGAGCCAAACTGGCCAGGGCTCCATGGGCATTCTTTATACCATTCTCTCTTTCTTCTTTTGGGTGTGTTTGAAAATGTCCATGATCAAAAAAAGAACAAAAGCAAACAAGAAAAAGCGCCCCTCCATGATGGCCAGGTTTTTCTTCCTAGCCCTCATCCCTGCGGGACATACTGAGAACTGTGTTTGCTGTGTCTCCCCTGGAGCGGGCACGGGGGAACGGGCTCTCTTCACTGCTGTACTCCCAGCACCTGGAGCAGCATGTGATGCTCACCCAGCTCACAACTGTGGGCCTGGGTCTGCGTGGCACCTCAAGCCTGAGCTCCGAACCACTGCATGCATACAGCGGTCTCCACCAGTTCTGATCTTGGAGGGCCATGGACAGGTCTCTCAGAGGCAAACTGCTCACCCACAAAGATGTGGGTGTCATGGTGGGCAAGAGGACTCGACCTAGGCCAGGGAGAGTAAGTGAGGGGAGAGGGCAGGGTCTGGACAGGAGAAGTACCCCACCACCCCAATGCCCTGCCCCTGAGACTGGCCCAAGATCATGTGGACATCATTGTACCAGTCACTGCTTTTATAGCTTCCAAATTCCAAGCCAAACCTGAGCCAGAGTCACAGGTTGCTGAGTGAGGCCAGGGTCAGCGGGCAGGGCCTACCCAGGGGTCCAGGAGCCAACTTCTAGAGAAAAGGGGCCAGCGAGGAGCTGGTCGGCCTCCACCCTCAAGGCCTTCAGCTTGGTTCCAGCCATGGCACCTGGGACAGGTGAGATGAGCACCCTTCCACATCTGCAGAGAACCTCTCCAGTCGGCACTGCCAGGCACAGGGCATGATCAGCAGGTGCAGGACCTGGGGGACTTTGGAAATTGGGATGATGAGGGCACTGGGCACCACCGTCAGGATGCTGGAATGGGGAGTGGGAGTTACTGGGGTGCTGCTGCCGCCTGTCATTGTGTATGACCTTTCTGTCTCCCACATGGGCTCTTGTGGGAAGATGTCATAGTCTTCCTAAAGCAGAAGCAGGCCCTGTAGTGCAGAAGACAACAGCTCCGGTCAGACCTGAGCATGGCCTGCCTCTGCTCCTTCACCAGCTCTGGAATGTCAGGCAAGTCACCTGGTTCATCTCACAGTCCCTCAGTTTCCTCACCCGCAGAATGTGCACAACGTGGGGTGACCCACAGTGGAGACAGGGCAGGTGTCCTGTCTGGACTCTGCAATTCCTGCCCCGATTTTCACTTGTGTTTGTGGCATCTGAGCTCACAGGGCGTCGCCCCCTGCCCCTTGCTGCTACCTACTGCTTCTTGGGCCTCCTGGTGGGGCCCGAAGAGATCTGAGGCACTGACATTGGTGTTGGGGAGCCCAAAAGTCCTGCTCTTCTTCCTTCTCTGGAGGCTGGTGTGTTCTCTGCAAGGAATGATGTTGTTCCCTGCAGGGGAAGGGACTGACCAGATTCAACGTGAGGCTCTGGGCTGAGGCACCTGGTTCCAAGGAGGTGGGAAAACAGACATACTGGGTGCAGCAGAGCCACCTTACCTGTCACCCCACCCGCAGGCAGCAGCCCCTCCCTGCTTGTGCAGCCTTGGGGAGGTCAGCTGGGCACTCCCTTCCTGCCAGATCCGGTGGGGGGCAGACACAGAGACTGCAATCCCATCAGAGATGCTCTCCTATCCCAGCCCCTAGCCCTCCACCACACCTCAGGGGTGTGTAGGACTTTGCAGTTTACAAAGGACCCAAAATGCCATCTCATTTAAGCCACACAGCAGCCCAACTGTGTGGGGTGGGGTTGGGGGTGGGGGGAAACTAGTGCATTTTATTCAGAAGAGGGAGGCGAGATTGGAGGAGTTGTAGAGCCTGGGCCAGACCCATGATGCAACTGGGGTGCTGCACAGGGCCCAGCTGGCCCCTTCCCAACCACACCCACACATTAGTTTCTCTTCAAGGAGGGAAGGGGCTGCTTCTTCCCTTGTCTCAGACTGGCTTTGCTTGTGGGCTATTATCTTCCAAAAAAATCTCCTTGACCTAGACCCCAAGGAGGGCAATTAGGAGGGGCAGGAGGTGGCTGGCTTCAGAGCGTAAAGGAGTATTGGGGACTAGGGACGTGGGTGTGAGGAGTCAGGAGCAGTGGCACCCTCACCCCCACCCCTCCACTCCATGTCATGGTTGGTTCTCTCAGACCTAGGGGGCATTGCTATTTGCATGAGAGGCTTTCTTGGTGTTCCAGAATGGAGGTTCCAGGCCAGTTGAGGGACCCTAGCAATCAGCCACCCGCATTCAGAAACTTCCCTCTGCACTCTGGGTATTGTCATGCCCTTGGTTCCATGCTCTCTCCACCTCTCCCTAGAAGCCCAGAGGTGCCCCGTGGCAGCTCCCAGCCACACATGCTCATGTAGTCCCTGCAGTCCTGGCAGAGGCTGGGCAGACCCCTGCCAGTTGAGATGTGGAGCTGAAGTCACAGAATGCCTGCAGTCACGTGGCAGCCACCCTGTGCAGAGAACTGTACTCCAGGGACCAGCTTACGTTGAAAAATTGTCACATACAAATACACACCAAGAGGGCACTTGACAAACATTTATTGAGCACCTATGTGCCAGGCCCTATGCAGGCTCTAGGAGAACAAAGTCACTGCTACCTAGTCCCTGCCCGGAAGGAGCTCACAGTCTGGTGGGCCAAACCATCAATCACATTAACAGCGGTGAAGGTGCATTTAGCTTCATGATTTTACAGCGAGCTTGTATATACGTTTTCTCAATGTGAACATTCAGCAACACAGCCACGTTGTTTAAAAGCACATTGGCATAAATGTAAACACAGTCACACGATCGAAAGGATGAACAGTAATCAACTGCAATAATTCACATTCCTGTTTCAGAGCCAGATTTTCAGCATCATTTATGCCTTCCTGTTAGGGAGGATGTAAGTTCTGCCAATCTGCACAAAGGGTAGCAGACGGGAGTCCCAAGGCCCGCCTGACATCACACAGTGGATCATGAATCTTCGCCCACTGCATTCTCCCCACTATACAGCACTAGTCTTCTGATATCCCCTGGACAAGGGCCCCACATATCCCTGGACTCCAAGTGAGTCCGATGGGAGAAAGGACCATGTCCCATGAGTCATGCTTTGGCTCATGCTGCCCCAGGGTAATACCAACTCAGATAAGGACAGCGCTCCAGGCCCAGATCCTCCATGATTTAGAGATTGGCTTTCTGGATGGACTCAAAACCTGGCTTGAGTTAGTGCCATACAGAAACCACTGCCCTAGAGTCTCAGCTGTGTCCCTGTCCCTGAACACAATACTTCTCAGGAGCAGATGGGGACTATCCTATTTTTCCCACTTGACCCTGGATTCTAAACAGGATAGTGCTGTGTGGGGGCTGAGGGAGCTCCCATGCCCTGCGTATCGCCATAGGGAAAACAAAGCTTCACAATGATTTGGCCTGTGATTGTTTAGGAGGGAAAAGAAGCTGGTAGAGACCCAACGTGGGCCATCTGCTGGTCGGGGGAACAGGAAACCAGGCAAAGGCTTGGGTTCAATTAAACCAAGGCGAGTGGGACTGTTTGGCTAAGCATATAGCTGAAATGTTGAATCCGGGCTGCATTTAGGACCCATGTGCTCACCTCCCAATTGGGGGTGGGGAAGGGGAGCATCTCTCTGGCTGCAAGCTGGCCACAACCATTTCACTTCAGAAAGATCAGGTCCAAAAAAAAAGCCCTGGCAGGTTTGGCTCAGCGGTTAGAGCACTGGCCTGAGGACCAGAGAGTCTCGGGTTCAGTTCCTGCTAGGAGCACGTACCAAAAAAAAAAAAAAAAAAAGATCAGGTCAAGTCTCAGCTCCTAGGCTGTAGACATCACTGGGCACCCCCCTCTGTGGCCTTGCTTGGACAGTGGTCGGTCAAGTGAATCAGTAAGTACAAGTGTTTCTACCCCATTTCCAGAACAGGGGTAGGGGAAGGGGTGAGGTGCTTCTGTGACTGACACCAAGTCAGCCCCTGGCCTCTGGCCCAACAAAGCCCTACCCTGGTCTTGTTCCAACCTCTGGGATGGGGGGCTTTCTGGCTCCTACTCAGGACAATCTTTCAGCTCTCCAGCCCCCTCAAGGTCCCTCCAGGAGGCCAGGTATCCAGCTAGCAAGCCCCTTTCCCCAATGATGGCCCAGACGGAACTCTCTTAATAAAAAAAATAATTTATTGTCAACAAAGGAGATATATACAACAGGAGAACAGGAGAAAAGGAGTAGGAGTGAGTGAAGCCCCCAGGTGGGCTGCTTGGGCCTCCTGCAGGGATGGAGCGGGAAGAGGTAATGAAGGCCTCCTGGTTTAGGAGCCTGAACAGGTGGGGGAGGAGAGGCGTCCCCTGAGGTAGTGGGACTCAGCTCTAACCCCGTGATGACCACCTCTTTCTTGTGTAAGGCACTGTGCCAAGGGAGAATGGTGGGGGCTGAGAGGGTGGGAGGAGGTGTGGGGACAGAGAGGTCTGGGTCAGCAAAAGGATCGGGGTAACTGTTCTCCATAGGCCCAGTGCCCTATCACATGACAGTCTCAGCCACCTCGCCTACCTTGCTGGTTAGACATTTTTCTGTGCCCCTAATGGCAAATGCTGTCCCCTTCCTCTCCTCCATCCTGCCTTGGCACTCTTCATCAGGTGGCAGAGTGGGTAGCTTCGAGAAGCCAAAAGGGGACAATGCCTCCTCCACCCCCTCCCCGGGGAAAGCAAGAACCTACACACCACTCCCTGCCTCTTGCCACCCCCCAGTGGTGCTGATTCCGACAAAAGCATGGACTGATCTGGGGTGTCACCTGCTCCCACACCCCTGGTGCCCTGGGGATGCTTGGACCAGTCTTGCAGTAGGCTGACTGCCGGGGGCTCCTCCATCCACTCGGATAACCTGAAGATCCAGTGTTCCGCGAAGCCCCGGAGGGGGAGCTGGGCAGGAATGGGAGCAGAGAGCAGAGTCAGGGCCCTCCAGAAACCCCACTACAAGGATGTTCTGAAGGTCTCTGCAAACCCCACCTGTTTCCGGAGCCCAGTGCCTGGTGTGAGTGGAAGCCCAACTGGGCTTTGTATTCAGAAGCTGGTCTGTCTCCCTGACAAACTATAAGCTCCTTGAGGGCAGGCGGAACCCCACTCATTTGCTCCTTAATTTAACAATAACTTACTGGGCTACTATGCTGTGCCCAACACTGTTCCAGTTGTGACAGCCAATCGACAAGAATAAACAAAAGATGCAATAGGATATATATGAACAGAAGCCAAGGGAAAGAAGTAGACCAGGGCAGGGGATAGGGAGGGTCTCACGAAGCTGACATGTGAGCAAAGATAGACAGAAGTGAGGCGTCAGCTCTGCAGAGAGCTGGGGGAACAGCTTTCCAGGTGGAAGGAAGACGAGTGCAGGGGCCCCTGCGAGGGCACCGCTGCTATAGGACAGTGAGGCCAGAGCCTGCAGTAAGCGGGGGACAGGTAAGGGTGCTGGGGTGAGGACCACACCTCCATGAGGACTCGTGTTTGCACCTGGAGAGTGACGGGAACAGCCAGAAAGGCTGAGCAGAGCAGGGACAGGATCAGACTTGGGTTCTCAATAGGGACACTGGCTGCTGTATGAGACCAGACCACAGCGGGCAAAGGTAAGCCAGAGACCAGCTGGAAAGCTGTTACAGGAACAAGCAAGAGACAGCTTAGAGCAGGGGAGCCGCAGTGGAGGTGGTGGCAGCAAAGAATTCTGAACACACCTGGAGGTGGGGCTGACAGACTTGCTGATGGATTGATGTGGGGTTTGAGAGAGACAAGAGGATGACTGGGGGTTAGACCCAGGCAAACTGAAGAAAGGTGGCCAGTTTCCTCAGAAAAAGACCGGGGAAAGTAGACAGGCTGGGGGTGAGGATTAGAGACTCTGGGTTCTGTTCAGACATGCCAACTTTGGGAGAAGATCCAGACCACCAAGTAGAGATGTCATGTGGGCAACTGGAAGAGAGGTTGGGACTGAGGGGAAAGGTCTGGGCTGAGGGTGAAGGCAGTTATGTGCACAAGAATGGTATTTCAAGCTGTATTCTGTGCAGGGTCACCCAGGGAGTACAGACCCTGACCCATGGTTGGGGCACTCATTCATTCACTCACCAAATATGTAGGTAAGCAGCACCTACTCTGTGCTGGGCACTGGGGATATCACATTAAATGAAACAGGCAAACATCATGATCTGAAGGAGCTTACGTTCCAGAAATGGGAAGAAAGGTTTACGGGCAAATGAACAGTGGCTAGAGAGAAACGAGGGCTCAAGAAAGGAGAAATAACAGCTTTGTGTAGGCCGCTGGGCCAGGTCCAGAGGAAAATCTGTGACAGAGAACTGCTGGCTGGGAGAGGGGGCTCAGTGACGGGTCTAGAAGGGCTAGCCTTGGCAGGAACAGCTGTTACACGGGCGGGAGCGAAAGGCAGAGGATGCGGCCTGGATGCTGCAGGGAAGGAGGGAGTGGGTGGATGTACTTCTTGGCATTGTGGGTGGGCATCTGTGTGGGCACAGTGGAAACACACACAGGCTGATGTTTACTAGGCGAGTGGCCCTGAGCAAGGTGCCTTACCTCCCGAGGCTCGGGGTCCTCTTGTGTAAACTGGGAGTCAGGGCCCTCCAGACATCCCACCATAAGGATGTTCCCTGAAGGTCTCTGCAAACTGCACCCCCATAGGATGGTTTTGTGGACTTCATTCTATTGTGTTGAGAAGTCTCTAACTTAGTGAGCTCTTACTACATACTGGACTCTTTAAGTGCCAATTCTTCCTGGTAGTAAGGAGGTCAGAGGGGTGGGGGTGAGGGTAGAACCAGGGGAGCATCAGGAGAACAAGGCCTGAGATGTGATGAGATGTCCTTTCAGAGACTGAGTGATCAGAGCCCCAGGGCTATAACAGAGCAAGCCAAGAGGACTTATCAGTCAAGCTGAGCCCCTGCAGCACTGAACCCCAGAACTTCCCTGCTTTCTTCCACAGTTGGGCATGTGTGTGTACATGCGCACACCTTCTCCAGAGGGGAGGGCCTGAGTCCACTTCTCTTGTTTCTCATCAAGGCTTTTCTCTGAGTAGCGACTCTGGAAACGTTACCATCAGAATCACAGGTGAAGGCGGCTGCCATCCACTCCTGTCAATAAGTCTTTACTAAGGGCCTTCTTTGTGCCTGGCACCATCCTACGAGCTGTGATCACAGCAGTGAACAAAGACCCGCCCCTCATGAAGCTCACATGCTCACACATACACACGCAGGCACACACTCACCCTTCTTTCCCCTTAGTTCAGCCTGGGAACACGCAGGGTCTGACCAGCATATCTGAAGCCAGATCGCTATGTCCTACTCAAACTGATCATCAGCAAGACAAACAGGTTCTTTTTCCCACTGTTTGTGAGTGGGCCCTCAGAACCACCTTCTCCTCTGGCCTGGGCACCCTCCCCTCCTTCACCCTACAAAGCCCTTGGAAAGTCCCAGAAAGTCTTTCCTGACTGCTTCACACTCAAATCCATCAGCTCAGCTGACCTGACCACAGAGAACTTTTCCATCTTCTAAATCCTTGATTTTTAAACTTTTAAAGTAGTAGTGTTTTTATTCAAACAAAGTTTTCAGAGAACTTGAATATATAAAACTCAAAGTGAAGACATTCCAGTTGAAGCCTCATAGGTTTCTGAGAAATCCATCCAAGCTTTGAGATCCTGAAACAGCTTGAAACCACTGGCCCAAAGCCTTGGCTCTGCACAGGACCAGCGCGGGTGCCCAACTACTCTATCGGCTTCACTGCCTCCAACACGTGTCCCCAGACAGACTATGAGCTTCTTGGAGACAAAGGCTGCCTCCCTCATTTTCCAGAGCACTTCGCTGCAGGGGCTGGGCTGCAGACACTTTGCTGTTGCATCATTTTGTGTCTTCTGCGACTTCCAGGCTAAGTCCAACCTCCACAGATTCTGCCATTGCCAAGAACACTTATCAGTCCCCTCCATCCCTCTCATGTCATTCAATCAGTTTGTTGAACTCTAAAGTCTCAGGTTTTTCCCACTCACCCCAAAGGGACCTGAGATTTCAGGGATTCCCTTCGCAGCTACTCACCACTCCAGACAGGTGGAGTTTGGGCACAAGGTACCCCAGGGCTCAAAATGAAGGCTCTTTCGAGAATGAAAGCAGAAGACCCACTGAACTGGGGGAGAGGTCAGCCATTTAGAGCAGCGATCCACCGAAGACAACGAGACTCGGAAACGTTCAAGTCCAAGCAGAGCACAGTCTCAGGGAGGCAGGACTGGAATGTGACTCAAGCTGAAACTTGAGACAGTTAAAACCATGGTCTACATGAAGGGACGAGGCCTGCCTGGGCAGCAGGAAGAAAGTGCACACGTGAATGTACTGCACACAGAGGCTTGTGAAAGCTCCGAAGGCTACAAAGCAAACTCTTTAAAAAAAAAAAAAAAAAAATTTTTTTATCCTCACCTGAGGATATTTTTCTGTTTATCTTCAAATAGAGTGGGAGGGAGAGGGGGAGAGAGAGAGAGAAACATCGACTGGTTGCCTACCACACAACCCCATTGAGGGCCTGGTCCGAACTACAACTGAGGTACGTGCCCTTGACTGGAATCGAACCCGAGACACATTGGTCCGCGGGCCGACACTCTAACACAAAGCAAACTCTTAAGAGTGGTCACTGCTGGTGAGTGATGTGGGCTGGAGAAGGGGCACATTTGTTTTTTCTTTCATGTGCATCTTTCTCGGGCTCTAACTCTGAATGCACATTTCAGACAGGCTGGGACAAGGCACGCTCTGCGTCACTCACTCACTCCTTCAAAAACATTTCCTGAGCCCAAGATGCCGCGAGCAGTGCCTGGCATGGCGAGACAAAGAGACAAACCAGGCTCAGCCTCTGCCCTACCGAAACGTGTTCTAGTCTCATCTGAACCCTGCTACTGCTTGGTTATGTGACTGTGGTACAGACAGAACACTGGTCCCCCAAAGATGTCCATGTCCTAATCCCCAGGACCTGCAAATTTGGTGTATGTTCCACCGCAAGGGAGAGTTAAGGCTGATGGAATTAATGGTGCCAGTCAGCTGACTTTAAGATAGAGATTCATCTGGATGATCTGGGTGGGCTCAGTATAGTCACAAGGGTCCTTATGTGGAGAAGAAGGAGGCAGATGAGTCAGCCAAAGACAGCATCCTGAGCAAGGCTCTGCTGGCCACTGTGGGCTCTGAAGATGAAGAAGGGCGCGAAGCAAGGAGCGGGCGGCCTCTAGAAGCTGGAAAAGGCAAATGGACTTCCCCCTAGAGCCTCCAGAAGAAACACAGCCCTGCCCCCTGCCGACACCTTGATTTTTCAGCCCAGTGAGCCCTCTGACCTCTGGACTGAAAAGTAGTACATTTGTGTTGTTGTAAGCCACTAAGTTTGTGGTAACTTGTTATAGCAGCCGTAGGAAACCAATACAGGCACCACGGGGAAGAAGGAACTATCTCTGAGAATCTCCTCTGGAAAAGACACTTTTTTAAGGACCAAGTGAACTATATATAGAAGTTTCTTAAAATTGGCAGGATGTGCTACAAAAACACATGCTTACTGCTATCATTCAGCAACTCACTGAGCTGCTCTCCCCAGAGGTGTGTTCACCACTGGTCTAGTCTCCTGCTGAGAGTTCCAGGAGGGCTCCAGCTCCAACAGGACAAGGTGGGCACCTCCCAGGCTCCAGCTCAAATCAAACTCTGGGTGTCAAACTTAGGGGAGCACAGACAAGGACCCGTCAGAAAAGCCCAGCCCACAGCCAGCCTCTATCCTTCAAATCTGCCTGCTCCAGGCCCCATCTTCTGGGAAATCCATGAACCAACCAGCTCAAGGAGCAGCCTCAAGGAGGCCAGAGCCCACGGGTGCAGCCTGCACCGACCTCCCTGTCGTGCCCTCTCAGGAGCTCACCTGGAGAGGGGCTTTCTGGCTGGGGAAGGCTTCCTTCGGCTGCTCTCCCCTCTTTGGGTGCATCCTTGCTGTCTGAGGTCCTTGGCTGGGTGTGGGAAAAGAGCTGGAGGACGAAGCCGGGAGGGAAGCTACCATCAGTGAAGTGTCGGACTTCAGTGGGAGCTGTGAAAGTCTCTGTGGCTGAGTCAGGTGACGACGGGGGGTCTGGAAGGGAGGACAGAGTGGAACTGAGTCCAGGAGGCTGGGCTGCCTCACCCCACTGAGGCCAGAACCTAGAAGCCTGAGCACCATTCAAGTGAGGAGCAGGTGCCCTCAGCCTGGGCCCTGCCCCACCCCCACTGGCTCGGCTTTCCTTCTGGAGAGCCACAGCCAGAGCCCCCACGGGCCCCCGGCCTGGCCTCCCCCTTCACCTGAGTCAGAGTCTGGGTCCAGCTCGAGGTTTTTGGTCATGGATCTGCCTCTCTTCTTTCTGACGGGCTCTTCCTCAGGGGGCTCCTTCCATCTCTGACCACGGGGCTTCTTATTTACTGGCTCTGTGGCAGGGGCAGCTGCAAAAAAGAAAAGGCCTTAAACCTTTTTAAGGGAACCTGTCTGAACCTTGTAACCTCAGGACTGCTGAAGCTATCTTCCCAGGAGCCTCTCTCCCCGCAGAACAGAGACCTGTGCCCACCTCTCCCCCAGCTCAGCCTCAATGGCTCCCCATGACTGACCAGGAAGTTCAAGGGGGCGGAGTCCCCTGGGCCGGGTCCTTCTAGGAAGGGATGTGCTGTCCTCAGAGTCAAGGAGAACGACAATCTCTGCTGGCATTCTGGCAGGGTCTGGAGCAGAGTCAGGGTCCGCACTAACATCCTGGGCAGAGTCTGAAGGGGGCAAATCGCCCTGTGAGTTCCACTGGAGTGTTCCCACAGGTCCACTTTTCTCCCACCCCCACCCCAGGCCCAACTACCTGAGTTGGGTGGGGAAGGCTGCTCAGCTCTGACATCTTGCAAAAGGGCCACCCCTTCACTCCAGGCCTCCAGGATGTTGCTCTTCTCAGAAGGGCTCAGGTCCAGGGTGTGAGGATGCTGATCCAGGATGTGCGCGCGCGCTGTGTCCGCCGAAGGGAACTGGATCTCAGCCCCACACACCATGCACAGCGCCCGCCCGCTGCCTCCCGGGCTGTTCCCCACCAGGAACTCCTGCTCCCAAGACACCTGCTGCTTGGGCTCTTCACAGCTATTGCAGCCTGCCTCCAGCAGGCTGGGCCTGGGCAGTGGGGTCTTCTCCTGTTGGGTCACTATGGAGGGAGAGGAGGGGCCAGTGTTATTAGCAAAGGTACTCATGGCCAATATTATTTAGGACACAAATCCCCAAACTTGGTGGTGTGGTGCAGAAGAAGAAGTATTCCCACTGTAAAAAATGAATCAATGAAGCCAGAGCAACCTTCCCAGAGGAACTGCCTTGCATGTCTTATGCCTCAAATCTTTGGAATGTTAAAAGAGCAAAATAACCTTGACTGGTTTGGCTCAGCAGTTGGAACATCAGCCCACAGACCAAGGGGTTGTGGGTTAGATTCCTAGTCAAGGGCGTGTACCTGGGTTGCACAGATTCAATCCCTGGCCCTGGTTAGGGTCGTGCAGTAGGCAACCAATTGATATGCCTCTCTCACATTGATCTTTCTCTACCCCTTCCGCTCTATCGAAAAACCAATGGGAAAATAGCCTTGGGTGAGGAATAACAAAAAAAAGGGGGGGGGGGCAAAATAACCTTTGGCCTGGGCCTAAAGCAACAATGTGTCCTAAAGAATTGTTTGCTAGGATAATAAGAAAGCAGATACCATGACTACCAGACTGATCACCACTCAACTGAAAATTAAAAACATTCTTTAGAATTAGCATCACTAATTAGCTTACCTGCACCAATAGAAATGCCTTCCTTCTATTGATATAACTGTTCTCCTTCCCTTTCTCATAAATATCCTTTGCCTTTGTTTCCTGTTGGGCACTACAAGAGTGGGCAAAAGTAGGTGAATATTAATAATACAATAATAAATAAACAATAACATAAGAATAAACTGTTTTGTATACTCATATCTGTTAACCTACTTTTGCCCACCCGTTTTTGGGTTTCTGCCTAAATCAATGATTTCCCAAACAGCTATTCTTTCTCTTTTTTCTTTTTGGTACGTGCTCCTAGTGAGAACCGAACCTGGAACTCTGGTCTGCAGGCTAATGTTCCAACCACTGAGCCAAACCGGCCAGGGCACTTTTTTTTTTTATCCTCACCCGAGGACATTTTTCCATTTTTTTGTACAGATAGAGTGGGAGGGAGAGAGAGGACGAGAGAGAGAGGGAAACATCAATGTGGAAGGGACACATCGAGTGGCTGCCACCTGCACGACCAACCAGGGCCGGGGACAAACTGCAACCGAGGTACATGCCCTTAGCGGGAACCGAACCCGGGTCTCTCCGGACCGCAGGTGGATGCTCTAACCGCTGAGCCAAACTGGCCAGGGCTCACTATTCTCTTTTTTAAATCCTTACTGAGGATATGTTTTTCACTGATTCTAGAGAGAGACATCTATGTGACTAGTTGCCTCCATATGCACCTCTATGGGGTTCAAACCCACAACCTGGGTATGTGCCCTGAATCAAGAATCAAACCCTTGCCCTGGCCGGTTTGGCTCAGCAGTTAGAGCATTGGCCTGTGGTCCAGAGGGACCTGGGTTCAGTTCCCGCTAAGGGCGCGTACCTCGGTTGCAGTTTGTCCCTGGCCCTTGTTGGTCGTGCGGGTGGCAGCCACTCGATGTGTCCCTTTCACGTCGATGTTTCTCTCTCTCCCTCTCTCCCTCCCACTCTATCTGAACAAAAAATGGAAAAATGTCCTTGGGTGAGGATTAAAAAAAAAAAAGAATCAAACCCGTGACCCTTCCGTGCACAGGAAGATGCTCTAACCAACTGAGCCACATCAGCCAGGCCCAAATAGCTCTCCCTTTAGATCTCAAAAAAAAAAAAAAAAAAAATGCTTGTTGCCCCTCACTTAGGCTTTTTTATTTTTTGTTAATCTTCACTTGAGGACATTTTCCTATTGATTTTTAGATAGAATGGAAGGGAGGGAGGGAGACAGAGAGAGAGAGATCAATGTGGGAGAGACACATCGATTGGTTGCCTCCTACATGGCCCTGAGCCCAGGGATCGAACCTGCAACCCTTTGATCCTCAGGCTGATACTCTAACCGCTGAGCCAAACTGGCCAGAGGTAGGCCTTTTATTTTTAGCTTAATTCTACCCAGTCTTGCTCGGCCAGTGCAACTCAGTGGCCTGAGCATTGTCCCATGAACTGAGGGGTCCTGGTTCAATTTCTGGTCAGGGCACATGCCTGGGCTGTGGGCCCAAGTAGGGGACATGTAGGAGGCAGCCGCCAATCAATGTATCTCTCACATCCATGTTTCTATCTCTCTTCCTCTCTCTGAAAAAAAAAAAAAGATACCACTCAGTCTTTTTCTCTCTTTTTCTGGAACCCGTAAGGTGCTAGCAACATTAAACACAGCCTTGTCCTGGCAGGTGTTGCTCAGTGGTTAGAGCATCAGCCCACACACTGGAGGGTTGCAGGCTCCATTCCAGGTCAAGGGCATGTACCTAGGCTGCAGGTTCAATGCCCTGCCCCAGTCGGGGTTGTATAGGAGGCAACCAATCAATGTGTCTCTCTCACATTGATGTTTCTCTGTCCCTCCTTCCCTTCCACTCTCTCTATAAAAAACAATCAATGAAAAAAAGTATCCTCAGGTGAAGATTAATAAAAACAGAAAACAACAACACAGCCTATAAGCCTTGGTAGCCCACCAGAGTACCTCCATACCTCCTTTTGATTTGGTCTCAGACCACAGGCCTACATGTATGTTTTTCCAACAGGCTATGATATTCCTGCATGTCTTCAGCCTTGGCACATCTGCCCAGATTCCCCAGTCAATTTGGCAAATTCCTACACTTCCTTAATGGACCTGCTCAAATTTTCATGCCTCGGAAGCCTTCCTGACCTCCCAATACTAGCAATGGATTATATGCATGTCTAACTTCCAGACTACAGTGCACTTTCTTGAGGACAAAGATGGTAAATACCTTTTTTTTTTTTGGTATGTGTCCCTAGCGGGAACCAAACCTGAACTCTCTGGTCTGCAGGCTGACCCTCCAACCGCTACGCCAAACCAGCCAGGGAGTAAATATTATCATCTTAATGTCCCTACTGGGCTTGGCACATAGAAGTGGAAATGCTCAATAAGCCTTTGGTCAGTGAATGACCAATGTGCCTGCTTCTCCACCTGTTGAGGCCTCTTCAGAAAGCCACCATCCATCAAAACTAGCTTCTCCTTTCAGTGCTCCCAGAGCATTTGCAGCTCATTCCCATTGGTCTGCCTGGCACCTGCCCTTTGTGCACATGGACCATAAGCTGCCAGGGTAGGAGCTCTGTAGCTCGCAAAGGCGGGCAACTCAGGACTGTGTGGTACGCCTATGATCTCTCATAGATACATCTCTTTCCCACCTAAGAGGATGGGACAAAATACAAATATAGGAGTCCCTGACATCTGGGGACTGTATGGAAGGAAGAGGTGGCATTTGAAAAGGATATGAAAACTGGCTTGGACTCAAAAGATCCAGGTCCAAAGCTGAGTTGTACCTATCCCCCATGTGATCAAGGATAGGAGTTGCAATCAGGCTTTCTTTCCCATTATGTTTCCCAAAACAGCTCTTACCAAGGTTATCAACACTACCCCAACAGTCAATTCTTAAACCTCATCTTTTGACTGATCACTTCTACCATCTTGATTTTTGTCACTCAGCTTCCAGGGTACCACCTTCTGTTGGTTCTTTTTACGTCACTCATCATTGCCAATTCCTCTTTTCAGGGCTCTTTTCACTCATCATTGCCAATTCCTCACTTCATTTCCCTCCCTCATTATCTCTTCTCAGGAACTTGCATGGCTCCCTCACCTCTTCTAGGTCATTGCTAAAGAACCACATTCTCACCATGGCCTTCTCCGCCACTCTGTAGAAAGCTGCCCTCTATCCCACCTGAGTATTCCATTCATTTCCTCCACAGTACACACCACCACCTGACAGTATGTGCTACATTTGTTCCTGTGTCTCTCCAGTACACTGTAGGCTCCATGACAGCATGGACTTTCAATTCTTCATACCTGTATCTCTACCATCATGTAGTAGTGCTCAGAAATGTCTGATGAGGGACTGACTCCATCTCCAACCTGGAATCAATGGAGCATGCCATGACTCTGTTCTCGGACCGCTTCTCTGTCTACCCCTTCCTCATGGTCGTGTCCCACTGCGTGCCTGATGACAATTCCCATATTTATTCCTCTAGCCAGACTCTCTCAGGAAATCTAGACTCGTGTTTCTAATTTCCTATCTGATCTCTCCACTTGGATGTGTCACAGGCATCTCAACCTCCAACCTGAACTCTCAACCTCCCCAAGCCTACACCATAGGCTTCCCACCTCAGTAAGTGGGAAGCCCATCCTTCCAGTTGCTCAGGCCAAAAACCTTGAATTCATTCTCTTTTTTCTCTCCCACCGCAAACCTTTCAAAGCATCTCTTCAGGACCTTTTGTATTTGTGATTCTCTCTGCCTAAAATGCTTTTCCTCCACTTATCTACAAGGTTCACTCCCACACTTTCTTTGGATCTGTGCTCAAATTTCTCATTAGGGCGGCCTTTCCTGACTTGATATTTCAAATAAAACATTCACCCCACTCTTTTTTCCTTACTTTGCTTTAATATTCTTTGAACCACTTACCACCACCTGACATACCTTTATTTATGTTTGCCTTTGGTCCTTAGTGTGTATGTGTTCCAGAAGAGCAGAGTTTTATCTTCGTTTATAGCCATTAGTATGTCTAGCCTAAAATAATGCCTGGCAGTGGTAGGTGTCCCATAATTACCTCCTCTGGACTTCTAGTTCCTCATCCCTAACAGAGAGAAAAGGCTGCTCTTGCAGGTGTTGAGAGGATTGAGAGCCCAGCTCGGAGCACTCGGTAAATAGCAGCAGAAGTAGGGAAGTAATCCCTCTGTCGGAGTGAAAGCTCTGAGGATGGTGCCTTTATTTCCCTTGCTCATTTTTTAACCCTCCTGATTTCAAAAGGGTGAGAGGTGGTGCAGGCACATTGTGTTCCCCTGAGGTAAAATGAATGGCTTTCCTCTCAACTCTTCTGGTTATTTTCCCTCCAAAAAGAAGAGATATCAGGGAATGCAAAGATATTTGCATTTCCATGACTATTATTTCTTCCATTAAGGTGGCCCTTTGTTTCCTTAAGGTTTGCCGGGTCCTGAGGACAGAAGAAATTGGTGAAGGAGGAAGGAAAGTGAGTGTTCCCAGACCTTCCCTCCCACTACCAATCTTCTTCTAGGGTGGCTGAGGGTCCCTATTGCAAGCACATCTTTTCCGAAACCGGGTGCTGTAAGCAATAACATTCACCCCTGAAGCTCTAGAATCTGACACCTGTGGCTTGTGCAAGTGGAAAGCCAAGAAATGGAAGGGGGGAGGGGCTGGAAAGCTTTAGGGCCCTTAAAATCCTCTTGGCGGGAGGCGGCAGTGTCAACCTCCATCCTCCGAACCCGCTCTGGACACCAGGCTGCCCCGCCCAGTCTCGGGCCTGGAGGCCTTGCCGCCCCTCGGCCTACAGCACCGCCTGGCCCCTGGGCCTGCCTCCGCCTCCGCGGGGCGGGAGACCACCGCCGCAGACACCCGTGGCTCCGGGGAGCCGGCGGCTGGTGCTGGACTCGGGAGAGGGGGCGCTCGGGCACCGGAAGATCCAGAGCTCGGCCGGAGTGGATCGAAGGCTCCAGACCATGGGAGGGGGAGGGGGAATTCAGGGAGGCCTGAGATTCCAAACCCGGGTGGGGGCGGAGCAAGAGAGCGCTCCGGCCCAAACCGAAGGGGGGAGGGGAGCCGAATCCCAGACCCGAGAGGGGATGGGGGTGCCCGCGCCCGGGCAGGGGGCAAGCCCGAGCCCCGGACCGTGACGCGGAAGTGGAGTCCCCTCCCATTCTCACCTCTGAGCATCGGCTCCGGCCGCGGAATCACGGCCACCACCACGGCCTCCTCCTCGTCCTCCCCTTCCTCGCATTTGAGCGTCACCTCGAAGCAGTCAAGTGCGGCGCCTTCGGCCTTCAGGGCCATGGTGCAGCCGGAGATGTCGAGGTGACTGGTCGCTGGAGGACCGGCGCGCTGGCCTGGCGCTCAGCCGGCGGCCGCCTCCCACCCGCGCCGCCCCCTCCCCACCGCCCGCCGGCCTGCGACGGGCACGTCCGGGCCTCCCCGAGACCTGGTGCGTCGGGACCCCGGGCGGGGAGGGCTCAATCCGGGGCCCCAGCCCCCCGCCGCTCCCTTTTATGGAGCCTCATTGTCGGCGCCCTCCGGACCGCCCGCCGAGGCCCCGCCCCCGAGCCCGGCGCGGCCAATTGCACGCGGCTCCGCCCCGCGCACGCGGCTCCGTTAGAATCCCAGGACCCGCCGGGCGCGGAAAGGGGCCCGCGGGCTCCCGGCGGCCCTCCAGCGCCCAGGCGGGGACCACGGCCAGTGAAGGAGGACCCTGCAGCGGCGCAAGAGGTCGTCCTGAGCCCGTCGGCCAAGTCCACTAGTCCACTGGGTCGCTCTTCGTAGAGATGCTACTCAGGCATATTTTGCTGGCGTGAAGAGCTTTGAATATGGGCCACTTTTGCCCTTCCCTGACCAAGCCTTCCTCCGCTAGAAGATGCCCCTGGCGGGAAAAGAACCGGTGGGATAGTGGGAACGGCCTTGACGTGGGAAGGGTGGAGATGAGATTACTTCCGATCTGCCAGCTATGTGATCTTGGCACGTTATCTGTTTTCTTAGATACTTAATACTTTGAAAAAGCATCGTGGAGCCTTCCAGACAAGGACACACAAAGATGAAGAGCCAGCCCGGCCGGTGTGGCTCACTGGTTGAGCAATCCACCCATGCACTGAGGGGTCGCTGGTTCGATTACCTGTCGGGGCACATGCCCAGGTTATGGGCCCAATCCCCGGTTGGGGGCATGCAGGAGGCGGCCAATCGATGTTCTCTCTCATCTGTTTCTCTCCCTCTCTCTCTAAAATCAATTAAAAAAAATAAAAAAAAGATGAACCAAGTGGAGTGTGGGCGTATGCAAACCACCCCAAATGTTTAAGCTTTCCAGTTTTTATTATTTTTTTGAATTTTTGTAATAATTTACTTGAGCCAGAGGGTACACCTGGAAGCAAGATCTCAAGAGATTTCATTTTAAACGTGAGTCCAGGGGCTGTGACCCTGCCCAAGGTCATACAAAAATCCTTGCGAACCCCAAGATTAGAGTCCAATGGTCATGACACTGCAGCAATACAGTTCTGTCGCTGAGCTTTTTCCTCTGTGACATAAATGGATATCTCCCTGTGCTGGAGGAGCCTTCCTGAGATTTTGCAGAGAAAATATCCAATACTGAAAATCCATTTTAAAATGCCACTGTAGCCCTGGCCGGTTTCTCAGTGGTTAGAGTGTCAGCCTGCGGTTCAGAGAGACCCGGGTTCGGTTGCAGTTTGTCCCCGGCCCTGGTTGGGTAGTGTGGATAGCAACCACTCGATGTGTCCCTTTCACGTGGATGTTTCTCTCCCTCTCTCTCTCCCTTTCACTCTATCTGAATAAAATACCAAAAAATGTCCTCGGGTGAGGATAAAAAAAATAAAATAAAATGCCACTGTATCAGAGAGAGAGAGAGAGAGAGAGAGGTGAAAGAGACACATTGACTGGTTGCCTCCCACTAAATAAGAAAATAATATAAAATGCCACCGTATCAAACCAAGCACAGTAGTAATTCAGAATAATGTACAGTCTTGCCTGCGTATGACAGTGGTCCCATAACATTATAATGGGGCTGAAAAATTCCTGTGGCCTACTGACTTCATAGTGGTAACACTTTCTGAAAAGAATAACACGTCCTCAAAAGAAGCCTCAGGCAGGTCCTTAAGAAGGTTTTCCAGAAGAAGGCATTGTTATCATAGGAGATGGCAACTCCTTGCCTGTTATTGCTCTTGAAAAACCTTCAATGGGAAAATATGTACAGGTGGAAGACAGTGCTGTACAGGTCTAGGCTAATGTGTGTGTTTGTGTCCTAGATTTTCTTCTTCTTTTTTATTGATTCTAGAGAGAGGAAGACAGAGAGAAAGAAACATCAATCAGCAGCCTCCCATACCTGCCCTGACCAGGGATCAAACCCAAAACCCCGGCATGTGCCCTGACTGGGAATTGAACCTGCCCTATTTCAGTGTATGGGATGATGTTCCAACCAACTAAGCAACACCAGCCAGTGATGTCCTAGGTTTGCGTTTGTGTGTGTCCTAGTTTTTAACCAAAAAGTTTAAAAAGTAAAAAAATTTAAATATTAAAAAAAAAAAAAAAAACTTATAAGGCGTAAGGAAAGCCCTGGCTGGTTTGGCTTAGCAGTTAGAGCAACAACCCGTGGACCAGAAAGTCCCTGGTTCGGTTCCCGCTAAGGGCACGTACCTCGGTTGTGGTTTGGCCCCGTCCCAGTTGGGGTTGTGTGGGTGGTAACCAGTGGATGTGTCTCTCTCACATCGATATTTCTCTCTCTCTCTTCCTCCCTCTCTCCCTCCTGCTCTATCTGAAGATAAATGCAAAACTGCCCTCAGGTGAGGATTAAAAAAGAAAAAGATGTAAAGAAAGAAAATAATTTTGTGTAGCTGTACAATGTGTTTGTGTTTGAAACTAAGTGTTCTTACAAAAGAGTAGAAAAGTTAAAAAATGTTTAAAGTTTATAAAGTAAAAAAAAAGATTAATTTATTATTAAAGAAAAATAATTTTTTATAAATTCAGTGCAGCCCAAATGTACAGTGTTTATAAAGTCCGCAGTCAAGTACAGTAAGGTCGTAGGCCTTCACATCCACTCACCCTCACTCACTGAGTCACCCAGAGCAACTTCCAGTCCTGCAGGCTCCATTGGTGGTAAGTGCCGTATATAGATGTACCATTTTTTATCTTTTATACCCTATTTTTACTGTACTATGTTTAGATACACAATTATTTACCATTGGACTACAGGATTCAGTTCAGTAACATGCTGTATAGGTTTTTAGCCCAGGAGTAGTAGCCTAGTCTGTACAGCCAAGGTATGCAGTAGGCTAGACCATCTAGGTTTGTGTAAGTGCACTCTATGATGTTCCCATAACAATGAAATCACCTAATGACACATTTCTCAGAATATGTCCCTGTGGTAAAGCGACACAGAACTGTAGTAGGTTGGGGGCGGGAGAGGAAATATGACCTAGTCTGTATAGATTACAGTATGTTTTTAAGTGAATAATCTTGTTACTTTCAAGGGTTTAACTGATTTCTACTTAATAGTCATCCTCTACCCTTTGTGACTGATCCCTTCCCAGCTCTTCTGCTCTGTTCTGTATTGCCCTGCAGGGAGCAGTTTCTCAGGCTTCTAGGGCAGCTGACTTCACGCCTGGGTTTTGGCCAGTGGGAGACAACGGCAGGAGACAGGAAGGAAAAATCCAGTATACTTCTTTTTCTCTCTCTTGTTTGGGCTAGGGTAGGTCTCCAGCAGCAGATAAGGCTCCCGTGTGGTTCCAGTTGCTACTGGATGGGCTCCTATGGTTCTAACTTCCAAAGGGTGAGCCTTACCCCTGGGCTCCATTAATTCCATCTCCTCCATTTGTCTCCCCAGTAAGGGAAGTGGGCAGCTTCTTGTTTTTGCTGATCTCTGGGTTGCTCCCTGTTGGGCTTCTTAGCCCTTCCATCACCCAGGTCACCACTGGTGTCACCAGTACCCTGCATTAAATTCTCTGTTTTACATACTTAGAATGGTTCCTCTTTTCCTGGTTGAACCCTGCATGATACACCCAGTATTATACCAGGACTATTATCTTAGTCCTCACAAGTCTTATGTGGTAGATTGTATTGTTCGCATTTTACAGAGCAGGTAGTTGAGGCTTAAAATGTTAAATTATTTGCCCAAGGTAATACAGCAAGAATCCTATTTCATCAAATCTAGGATGAACATTTCCCCCCACATTTTAGCAGCTTTGAAATGGGGATGGTTTCTATAATGGACATCAATGTGAAGTTTAAGGAATATCAAGAAAGTGTAAGAAGGTCCTTCTGATATTCAGTGCCATATGATTTATAAGAAATATATATTTGGGCCTGGCCCATGTAGCTCACTGGTTGAGTGTTGAACCATACACCAAGAGGTCGCTGATCTGATTCCCGGTCAGGGCACATGACCAGGTTGTGGGCCCAATCCCCAGTGGGGGGCATGCAGGAGGCGGCCAACCCATGTTCTCTCTCATCTATGTTTCTATCTCTCTCTCTCTCTCTTCCTTCCTCTCTCTCTAAAATCAATAAATGAAATATATATAAATATATATTATATTTGGTCAAAATATATTTCTTATGCCCCAGCTGGTGTAGTTCAGTTCAGTTGGTTGGAGCATTGTCCCACACAGCAAAAGGTGTTGGGTTCCATTCCTGGTCAGGGCACATACCTGGGTTGTGGTTTTGACCCTTGGTTGGGGCACATGTGGGAGGCAACCAAATGATGTTCCTCTCTCACATCAATGTTTCTTGATGTCTCTCTCTCCCCCTCCCTCTCTCTAAAATCAATAAAAAATGTATATGTGGAAAGTAATAATTATTAAATAATACTATAAATAGTAAAATTAATTAGCCCTGGCCGGTTTGGCTCAATGGTTGGAGCATTGGCCTGTGGACCCGAGAGTCCCGGGTTCAGTTCCCACTAGGGAAACGTATCAAAAAGAATAAAAAGAACTCTGTTTCCTGTACTCACACCTGTAAATCTACTTTTGCCACACCCTGTGTGTGTGGTTCCTGACTCACAGCTCCCTAAACCTGGGATTTCCTAAGAGTTAAGAGTGATAAAGGTGTCTTTTGTTGTGTGAATGAGGACCCTGCCTGGGGGGTTAGAGAATTGGAACTTTCAGTCCCCAGGCCCTGATTGCCAGGAAGAGAAGAAGGATTTGAGGAGGTTGAATCAATTGCTAAGGGCCAGTGACTTACTCAATCATGATTATGTAATGAACCCTCCATTAAAACCCAAACAGGACATCTTGTCGGCCCTTTATTGGACAGCTTCCATGCTTCCATGTTGGGGAACCAGAGCGCTTCCACGTGCCACGGTGCA